GACGGTCAAAAGAAATAACTTGAGCACACTGAGATAGAAATGTGCACATATACACCTATGAAACACATGCACTGGAAAAACCATAGCAGCATACAGACCAACCTGGAAGACAGATAACTTATTCCAATGATGCATCTCGGAGCAAAATTTTTTTGAAAAAAAAAATCCTTTGTTAACTATTTTCAGTACTAATGTATAAACCAGGTATAAAAATCATTCTCATTATGATTATACTTGATTTTTAATTCTATATAGTGTTAGCCCCAACATAAAGACCCAATTTATTCACTAATGGATGTGTGTGTGTGTGTGTGTGTATTGTGGTTTTTTTGTACTGGGCATTGAACACAGTGGTGCTTAACAACTGAGCCACACACTCCCAGACCTTTTTTTAAATATGTTATTAGAGACAGGGCCTCACTGAGTTGCTAAGTGCCTTGCTAAGTTGCTGAGACTGGCTTTGAACTCATGATTCTTCTGCCTCAGCCTCCTGAGCCGCTAGGATTACAGGCATGTGTCACTGCGCCCGGCTTCATTAATAGTTATATTTTTTTAATAAAAAATTTTAAAAATGTACCATAAACAATAAATGCTAAAAGAACACCAAATTTCTTGGCAAAATAACAGCAATGTGAGACTAAATACAGAGTTTTCCAAGGTAACTGACTTCTTTAATGACACAATTTTGAAAGTTTTTATATTCCACTACACTCGTATTTCATACTTACACAATTATAGTCATGGTCTACAATTATAAGATACACCTTTACATGTTGATATATGTAAATATCCTTGTAGGTTCTGACTCTTCTTGGAAAGATTTGCCTTTGTTGACTTCCACACACAATATGAGGATTTTCTGTTTTGGTTCATTTTGGGGAGTTTAAAAAAAAAAAAAAAAATTACAACCTTATCCATCAGATGGCTAATGTGAGTCTGAGAATTTTAACAAAGCTGAGGGTTGGCTCCTGAGCTTTTCCTGAGATTTCTTCATTCAACCCACTTTCTAAGGACTAGTATGAGAAGGAGGTTGCAATCTGCAACCTAAAACCACAAAAATGTATGGAGAGCTCTTTCCATTTTCTGCTGCTATAACAGAATACAAGAGACTAGCTAACTTACGAAAAACAGACTTATTTGTCTCAAAGTTATGGGGGCTAGAAAGTCCAAGACCATGGTACTGGCATCTCACAAGAACCTTTGTGCTGTATCATCCCATGTTAGCAGGGCAAGAGAGCATAAAACAAGAGATCAACCTTGCTTTTATCAGGAATTCAGGCCCACCATAACTAACCCACTCCCATGAAGGCAATATTAATTTATTCCTGAGGGTAAAGCATTCATGGACTAGTCACCTGTCAAAAGTCCCATCTCTCTACATTGTTGTACTAGGGATTTGTGTCCCCCAAAGTTCCCAGCACATGAACTTTGGGTGATACATTCAAGCCATATTCAAGGTACTTGGGGAAAAATGATGGGAGAGGGGTAGATAAAGTAGAATAATGAAATAGAAACCTTGCCCTCATTTCCTAAAATCCTAAATCTCTGACATCTTTAACTCTTGTTAACGCTAAGAATTATGAACCTTTTGCTACCAAAAAAAAAAAATCAAAAGGAAGAGCATCTCGTTTTTAAAAATAATTTACTTAAAATCAAATTATTAGTTAGATCTAAATTGATAATTTCTTTTCCTCAAGAATGTTACTCAGAACATTAACTAACCCACCATGGCATAATCTGTCTCTAAGGGGAAAAAAAATCCCCACAATTTTTTTCAGTTTTAGAATTCTATGACAAACATTTTACAACTGCTATGTTTAAAATAAAAAGAAAAGAAAAAAAAACTTTAAAAGTTTGGGTATAGCTCTTACACTATAGTTTTGCCTCATCTTTGGCAGACTCCCAAAACTGCACTAATGAAAGAAGAAAGGAGAGGAAACAGCAAAGGTATCCCAAAACAACAAAACTTCAGCTCTAAAAAAAGTTCAGGCTGGCATGGTGGAGCACGCCTATAATCCCAGCGACTCTGAGGCTGAGACAGGAGAATTGCATGTTCAAAGTCAGCCTCAACAAAAGCAAGGCACTAAGCAACTCAGTGAGACCCTGTAGCTAAATACAATATAAAATAGGGCTGGAGATGTGGCTCAGTGGTCAAGTAGCCCTGAGTTCAATCCCAGGTACCAAAAAAAAAACCCAAAAAAGTTCAGCCCTTCGGTGTTTAAGTGAGAAAGACTGTTATGTGCTGACTTAAAAAAGTAGTAGGAGATGTGAAGTTAACAGTTCTACTGGAATCACTTGGAAAGGCAGTTCCTACACTTTATATTCAGGCAAAAAAAAAAAAAACAGGAGGAATTTATCTAGTAAATTTTCTTGCTTTGTGCAAGTGACATCCACCAATTTACAATCAAACTATCAGTGAGGTATTCACAGAATTCTGGAACACTGTCAGAAATACACATACAATGGAAAATGGGTATTCTCATTAAGATTCAGCACTTATCTTTTAAAAGAATTATTGCTGACAAACAAATCACATAACCAATTTGAAAACTACTTAGATGGAAAAGGGGAGGTTGGATTTGAATAGTGAACACTACATAAATGAATGGAAATACGGAGAATCCCATTAATAGGTATCATACATGCTAATAAAAATTTTAATAAATTATTTTCAAAATTGACGGAAAAAGAAAGAGAGAGAGAATAAAGGAGAAGAGAGAGAGAGAGAGAGAGAGAGAGAGAGAGAGAGAGAGAGAACTTAGGTATCAAGCTTTCCAAGAATATATGTTTTAAAACATTGCATCACTCCACATAATCATCTTTTTCTCTTCCTGGCTTCCTTGCCAACCTAAGTAAGCACCTTCAGAGGAAAGGCCCAGATGGCAGGTGTGGGTGTTCCAAAACATCAGATATTATTTTGTTTATCTGAATTACAATCTTTGTTTAAACAGCCTTGGGGTACAAATAAAACATACTACTAATTAAAATAACCAGCAGCAGTACTAATAAAACATCTAAAAAGCACTTTTATGGAGAGGCTTTTAGTCCTCCTGACCTCAGGACTTGGAACAATAATGTGCCCTTAAAGTGAAGTGGGTAGTCCCCTTTCTGCTAGAGAAAAATTTAAAAATTCAGTCTGTGGCCAGAGAAAGAACCACACTAGAAACTGAGGTATCATAAATACTTGGGCATAAATCTTATACATGAGAGAGAGCAAAGAAGCCATAACCTAATATAGACAATTGTATGTTCATGACTCACTAAATTTAAACTACTATAATGGCTGAACAACTTTGGGGTGTTAATAATGAAAAGATTATAAAACAAAACACCTGGGTGCTGATGGGGGCAGTGTAGATCATTACAGCATACTTTCCTAGCTCAAGCAAGGCCCTGAGTTCAATTCCATGCATCACCCAAAAAAAAATTTTTTTAAATTAACTTTGAGCTGGGGCTGGGGCTCAGTGATAGAGCGCTTGCCTAGCATGTGTGAGGCAATGGGTTCGATTCTCAGCACCACATACAAATAAGTAAAATAAAGGTCCATCAACAACTAAAAAATATTTTTTTAAAAAATTAACTTTTAAAAAACCACCTGTAAGTACTATGTAAGATTACCAAAACTCTGCCCAGCAAGAATATTATAATTTTTTTACATATTCAGAACTGCCATCTATATCAATATTTCATGAGACCAAAGCTAAGCAAGAAATCATTTCAGAATAAATTTAGCTTTAGGAAACAATCACTGTGTCTTTTGGTTGGCTGTTACTCATTTTACTCCATATACACATAAAATCTTCCTAAAATCATGCCGTTTTGAAGATCAGTGTTAACAACTAATCTAAAAAGACTTATGTTTTCACTATCTTAAATCAGTAGGATTATGTTACAGCAGCTCAATACTACACATCTCATTATAAAACAGGCTAAGTCACAAGTCCCTTAAGATATCCCATGGCTTTTCATCTTCAATGTCATCAACTAATATAATCTCCCCAAAGCAGCATTATCAGTGTCCTCAATAGCAACATGTCTCTGCCACTCAAGAGAACCCATTTGCACCAGAGTCCCAACTCTTATCTGCATTATTCTCTTTCCCATCAAAATAGACCAAATTTTTAGACCTTGCAGGGAAGCTGGTATTTGAAAGGCAGGAAGTTTGTCAGATCCAATCTAATATTTGATTCAAAAAAGTCTCCATCACCCCCTTGCTCTTTCTGCACATTGCCCTAACAATTCAAGTTTTAAGTGCCTTCTTCAGTAATGGCCTTGATTTTTGTTTTAATTTGATCTCCCACATGTAAAACCCTAGCCAACAGGGGGTCATGAAGGGAAAGTGTAGAATTTGATTTCACTGACTCACTATACTGTAAAAAATGAATCAGGCAAGATTATTTTCCAGATCACATAAATGTAATTTTCTTTGGAAGTAGCGGGTATGGGAAACATCTGCACCTTCCACTCCACTGTGTGAACCCAAACTGCTCTAAAACAATGTGTGATTAACCACTATTTCTGTTTCATGAAGGCGGAGACTGTGCTCATTTTATTCATCACTGTACATCCAATACCTGGGAAGTATCTTACACTAAATTACTGCTTCATAAATTTTGATATATGAATAAACATATACTGCAAGAAACCCAACAATGTTTTCTGGGAATTATGAAGTTACTTAATAAACTATGGATATGTTTAAAACATTCTGGCAAGTCAACACAGAAATGATAAAAATGGTCTAATGCTATTAAACAGTTTTTAAGAGAATCAACATTAATGTTTTACAACCTGATCATAGAGTTTACTTGTTTTGCCATGGAAGACCCACATTTTCTTATGTACTTATTTTTAATGCTAATTTTTAATTACTTATTTTTATGCCATTTTGAAAAACCAATAGGCAACAGCTACATGATGTATAATTTAAAATAGGTACCCAGGCATAAACTTTCCCCATTAAACACACCTTGAAAAGTGTCTGCTCTTAGCCTACTTACTTCAGTGTGAATCCACAGCCACTCAAGGATTCACAATACTAGGTTTTAGTTCTTTTTCTCTATTCAAATCTGAAGGTGGATTTTTGTTAGTATAAAATTTCTGCACTATTGATGAATTACTGTGGTCATGTGATCTGGAATACTGTGATCAGCCAAAGGCATACCACAAGACGTTAGTGGCCAATTTGCATTTGTGTATTTGGAGCTCCAATGACATGTGAAGGTCAGATGATGTTACAGAATACTGGAACTTTCAAAGAAAGTCTGAAAAAAGTAAAAAGAGGTGGGAGTAGTGAATTACTTTCTAGCTCATGGCAATACAGCATGCCAAACTCGAAAAGCACCTGACTCAGCAGATATCTCACCCATCATTAGGAACACGCCTATCACCCAGCTCCCATATTTAAATGGTTAAACAACAAGAAATAAAGGTTAGTACATAATGAAATGTTTCATTCACAGTTTTTTTTAAGCTTTTTTTGGTATTATGTATATTAGGGTGCACTTTTAAAGTGGTGGCCTACAAAATAATGGATTGATGGTGAAAAAGGAAAAACAATGGTAATCTTGCTTTTGAAAGAAATCAAATAAATCAAATCAAACAGACAAACGAAATGTAAAGTAATCAAAAATATCTTTCAAACTATTAAGATTAATAGTGGCAATCTAAAATTAAAAAGCAATTATTTTAAATTTTTGAGTTATATTGATTTTGTAGTTTTGTCAGTGTTTACTTTTAAAATTTGTTTTAGTTTGATATGTTTCCATCTAGTTTATATTGAACATAGTCAGATGAGATTAATAACATTATTTAATCAACATTAAGTTTTTATAAGAATTTTTCCTTTTTCAAAAAATCCAACATTTCAAGTTTGAAGGCTGGCCTCCTTTTAGCAAAATACATTGTCATTTCAAGATAATGTTAACTAAAATGGCACTATAACTAATTAAACACATAGAAAGTTCACAGTCCACAAAGTCAAAAAAAGTTACAAGAAACTAGTGAATGCCAACTCCATAGCCACAAGGTTACCACCCTGAGAAAACTAAAAATGCAATACACTTAGTGCTATCCTTTATTTTATAGGCCCCAGAGGGAATATCTTAAAAGTCTATGCATTTCTTGTATTTTGGTACAATGTTTTTTTCTGCACGTGTTTGATTCCACTACAAAAATTACTGTGCTTCTCTGCAAACCTGGATATCAATGATAAAAATTCAAAAATCAGGCCAATCTGTAGAGAAAAAGAAAAGAATGGGTTTCTCAAGACTTACCTAAAAAAATTCTTATGATAAGCATCTCCTTCTTGAAGAATTATTACTAATACTACTGAAGAGAGAAGAAGTACAAGATAAAGAGGCAATGACTGACTGAAAAGTGGGAACTGTGCCCACCACTCATCATGTTCCAATTCCACAACCTCTGGCTGGCTCCAGTTTCTTGGATACTCCTCCACTACTAAATCTTAAATCTTCAAGAGTCACTGGAGAATAAGTCTACTTATCCTGGCCAACTAGAAACAAAACAGGGGAGAGAGGGTCAGATCTAGGGTGAGATGAACAGTTGTATAACCGGTCTATCACCAATCAAATACTTGCATCCAATGACCCTATCCCACTATTTCTTTTTCTCTTTTTTTAAAACAACCTGGGAGTGGCACTTTATTGGTGGTCTTTAATGCTATCCATCTCAGTGAAGTGCTTAGAATCTCCTCTGACCATACATAAGCCCAAAAGAAAAGTGAGAAATCTGAAATAACTATCATGCTCAGTATTTAAATATACATATAAAATTCTAGAAAGCACTGGGATTTCCCATAGCTGACAATACTTGTACTTTGTACTTGTAATTGTACTTTGTCCTTATCTGCAGAAATAATTTGTAAGCCTTAAATTGCAGACCATTCTAAGAAATGGGATGTATTTATTCAGTTCCACCCAATCCTGCCCAGAATGTAAACTATCCCTTTACCCAGCATATGGATGCTCTATAAATACCCAACACTTAGTCACTTGACTTTCTCAGTTATCAGATAAACTATGGGAGCACAAAATGCTCGTGTTAAAGTAGCCCTTATTTCATTTAATAATGGCCCCAAAACATAAGGGTAGTGATGCTGACTATTCAAATATACAAACATATCTGTTTCCAATCAAACTGCTTCCCTTAATGAAAAAGTAAAAGTTATCAACCTAATAAGGAAAGAAAAAAAGTCAAGCATGGGTATAGTACAATAAGACATACTGAGAGCTAAGATCACATTCTCATAACTTTTATTGTATATTGTCATATTTTTTTCTATGCAATAATTGTTCTTGTTAATCTCTTGTAGTGCCTAATTTATAAGTCAAACTGTATCATAGGTATATATGTGCATCATATATAACTCTGATACAACACATCTAGGGATTCAGTATTATCCAGTTTCAGTCATCCATTGAGAATCTTAGAAAGCATCCCTGGCAGATAAGTAGGGAAACTGCATTAATAGAAAAGTTTGCAAAATAATTCAACAAAAAGTATCCCTTGCTTTTAAGAACATGTCATGTTCTAAAGATAGACATGACATATCTCTCTTATAATTTTATGTTTTTACTATTGTTGAAGTATGTTTATGTTGTGTTTGAGGATGTGAAAAAGGGGAAGAAAGGGTAACAAAACTGAAAATTTGGAGCAAGAAAATCAAGATAGTGTTCAGTTGTCTGGGGGTCCAGAATTTTAACCAAAATTTAACCATTAGATAGTACATCACTTCCTAACTGCTCACATTTCTAGAAGCCAAGTTTTAACAAACCCAAGAACAAAAATATAACCAATTCTAGTCTATTCCCACATTAAAAGCAACCCAAATTTTATCCCATACTATTTTATTTTGTTCTGACACTCTTTGATTGAACTGTACCACAGTAACAACACTTTCTGTCAATAACCACCGTCCTCAAACACAACAGCATCAACAACTGGATTATAGTGACAAGTGCCAATCACTAGGCCAAGGCATTATGTCTTTTTATATAAATAAATCTAAAGCTTTATTTATATAAAACTAATTCATGTTTCAATTCAAGCATTGCATTAATCTAGAAATCCCACATGCTAAATTTACCCAAAGTAAGGGTGGTAGCCAGACGTGGTGGTGTATGCCTATAATCCAAGTGACTTGGGAGGTTCACAAATTCAAAGCCAGCCTCAGAAACTTAGCAAGGCCCTAAACAACTTAGCAAGACCCTGTCTCAAAATAAAAGATAAAAAGGGCTGGGGGAGGGCTGGGATTGTGGCTCAGCGGTAGAGCGCTCGCCTAGCACAGGCGGGCGGGTCCCAGGTTCGATCCTCAGCATCACATAAAAATAAAGGCATTGTGTTGTGTCCATCTACACCTAAAAAATAAATATTTTTTTTTTTTAAAAAAAAAGGACTGGGGTTGTGGCTCAATAGTTGAAAGCCCCTGGGTTAAATCCCTGATGCCATAAATAAATAAATAAATAAATAAATAAGGGTAGGGATGTCTTCCAAGCCTGTACCCATTTCTACTAAGAAGCATACAAATAATAAGAAGAAATGGTCTTTGGTTGGACTCAACACTATAGGGAGACTAGTGATTTAAAGTTTTGGCACATTCCAGTCACTCACTATGTCAATCTGTTAGTAATGAGAATGAGATAAGGAGCAAATAGTCTAGCAAAGAGGTCAGCAGCAACACTTAATGACCCAGATATGCTATTACGATGGTTCAAGTTACTTTCTTATAGTGAGAAAGCAAGGGGTTGAAAATGCTTTAAGTTAATGTTAAGACTCCCAAATAATTCAATTTCATTAGAAAATGAAGAGGAAAATCTCTTATAGGTTAATAATTCCATTATATTGTTAAGATTTCAACTATTTGATCAGTTAAAAGTCAAGGTAAGGGGTAAGGGTGTGGCTCAGTGGTAGAGCAATTGCCTAGCTAGCATCAGTGATGCTATGAATTCAACTGTCAGCACCAAAAAAAAAAAAAAAGAAGAAAATGTATAAAAGCCAAGTTAACCAACAGATATAAATATAATATTATTTTTAAGCCTCTGAATTATAACCTAAGAAACAGCCTATAAATTAAAGCACATTACTTGCTATAGATAAAACTACGTTAGGTTTGGTTTATACTTGGCAATGAGGTAGGTGAACAAATATTCATTCTTGTTCAGTTTTTCTCTTTTCAAATTGGGGGAGGGGGAGGGGAAAAGCTCTTACAGACATGCCTCATCAATCACTAACAGGGTCTGGTCCTGATATTATATGAGCTCTGTCAACCTTAATCAAATTGCTTGCCAGATCGTAGATAAGTAATGACTTGCTTAGGTTAAGCCAGGCCAGAGTTTTCCTTCTGTAGTATACACATCTCCGGAGTGAAAATAAACAGCCTCACACCTCTCACAGGGAGCTGCACTCTGCTGAGATTACAATTCAGTTCCCTCCAACCAGGGAGGAGGGGCAAACTCTGGCTCTAAGAAGAGCTGCTTTTCCTTCTTTCTGGATCTGATCATCAAAATCATTTTTAAACTCTTCCATAAAACAGTTAATAATCATTTTATCTATACCAAAATAATACAAAGAACTATGGTTAAATGCTTTAGCATTAACACGTGTCTTAACATCACAGTGCTAGAAAACAAAACAGAAATCACTACCAATTGGCAAAAGCAACACTGAGTCACTTAAAAATGCAAAACTTGAATTCATCCTAATGTATTCAAGAAATGAAAAACCAAATTTTGACTCAATATCATCAGTAACATTTTGGATACAGGAGTGCCCTAAAGTCACCGTTAAAATCAGTTAAAATACTTTAGATCTTATATTCATTTCACAGTCCAACACAAACATAAGTTTTATTTCTAAAACGTCCCCTTTACTAATTCCTTTCTTTAATATAATTGGAAAGGGTTTTCAAATTTCATCTTCAGCTGGGATATAATGTTAAACAATTTTCTAAGCATGTGAGTATTCTGCCTATTCTAAAGAAAGGGTTATAGAAAGCAAGAAACCCAGTAGCTAGCAGAAAATATGAAGTGACTTCTTTAGAGGAGAGTATAAAAATACAAGATACCCAGGAATCAGTTTATCTTAGGCAAAATGCACTTCAATATTTCCCATTAGGTCAGTAGAATCTAAAATGTAGAGTTTGCAGTTTAGAATTACCATAGGAAAAAATTCTTAGAATTTAACAATTTTCATCTATTACTAAGCACTATAAATTGTGCAACTATAACCTAAAATAAGCTTTAAAAGACTAAAGTTGAAACTAACACCCTTTTCTAACTATTCAAGAGAGATTTTAAAGGACACCTGACTTTGAACTAGTTTAAAACTTACTTTTGATACCAATGCTCATCTATTCATGTTTTCTATTTTCACAAAAATTTTACTGTCTCAAATACTTCTTGCAAGAAGAAAGAAAGGAAGAAAAAAGCTGCAAAATACTCTTAAAAGTACAAAGGACTCAAAAAAAGTTAAAAAAAAATGATCATCATTAGAAACACAAAGAAAAGGAAAATTCTGTGTCAGAATTAAAAGAACCAC